AACAAACGCTTCATAAGATAAGACATAGAAAAAAGCCATAAGAACAACGAACGTCAATATACAAAGAAACGAAAGCCTAGCGTGAGATTCGGGCATGTAGCTTCTTTGGGTTTTGATGAGATATCCATTGCCTTTGTAAGTTATCAAAACCTACTCTGCGTTCTGAATACTCAATGTATACCTCATTTTCTCATAATGAAAAAGTAAGCAAAAATGAGAGCAGAATAGCAAGGTCTATCCCAGAACTAAATTCTTTCTTTACGTATTAAAGTAATACGAACAAGGACTTAACCTTAATCATCTTACCACATTTCTAGTCATCTGATTATCTAGTTCAGATTACCTAGTTAAGATATCTCTATTCTATTTAACCCATCAGAAACCTAAAAGAAGGCGCAGTCATAATAACATATGACTACATACCTCGTCTTAAAATACGCACCTATTGAGATACGAGTTCCCCGAATCACATCAGATCGTATCGTATCGTATCGAACGAGAATATCTGTAAAAATCTAGATCTGCACCAGGATGATGGATCTAGCTAGAAACAATGTGTTCGAGAAGTATGTCATGTCGAATGTCAAATGTGTAGATAGGTTAGTGGGTAATGATAGTTAGAGCTAAAGTACGTATGTATGTATGTATGTATAATTTACATTTACATTTACATTCTACCCAGCACTCACTCTATTTAAAATCAAATATTAAATTCAAATTCAAATTCAAAATCAAAAATCAAAATCAAATTTAAAATTCAAAATTCAAAATTCAAAATTCAAAATTCAAAATTCAAAATTCAAAATCAAATCAAATACAAAATAACTTCTCCTAAATCCCAACACCTATCCCCATCCACATCCACACCCACACCCTCGCGCCCGCTGACTACCTAGTATCCCCTCTTCCCTCCCCCTTCCCCCGAAATGATCTCATGACCTTCCTCCACGTGACAGTGCCACCCCACCCCACCCTACTCACCCCCCTAAAAGCTCACGCGGCTCTCGACTAGCTGGAGATACGAGGTAGTCATATCACACCTGAAACATCCAAAACCAAAAGATCATCAAATCTCAAATCTCAAATCTCAATCTATCCACAATTCAAATTCTAAATTCCAGTTCCAATAAAATCCCTAGACAAATCCCCTAGACTCCCACAATGTATATAGATATATCAAACAAGTATCTGTTGGTATCACCATGGGGATAGTGAAGTAATATAGTACTAATAATTCACATTATTGTAATATTGCTCCAGGTTCTAAAAGCTAAAGGCTACAAAATGTACAATATAATGTTGATACGCTAGCGCCTGCATTAGTGCGATTACATAACTCCTATCACATAATCCCTGTCTCAATACTGGCAACTTTCTAAAGTTGTCGGGTTGTATTCTTTTTAGCTAATCCCTTTCTTTGTGAAATTATTTGTGTTATTAATCCTTTTTATATATTCTGGCTTTTTCTTTTTTTTCCTGTTCCCTCTCCCTCTCTTTTTCTATAAAACCATCTTTCACATAATCCCTTATCCCAATTAATCTATTCCTATTTATAGAAAACTGTTTTCTTTATCTTTATTATTTAGATAAACTAATTCCTTACATTATAATAACTGGGTAAAAATAAGCTAAAGAGCATACTTGTTCTCTATCTCCTTTTATATCTTCTCCCATACCTCCTCTTCCACCACTATTCCCATTTCTATTATATTCTTTTTATGAAAAACCTCTTCCTCTACCTTTATTTTCTTTTTCTCCACCCTTATTAAACCATTCTTACTATCTGACAAATTATTATCTAATAATGATACTGGATTTTCGGAAAGAGGGGGTTTTGGTAATAGTATTGGATTTTCGGAAAAAAGGGGTTCCAATAGTAATGAATTTTCGGAAAGAGGGGGTTCTGAATTGATTTGTTAAATAGATATTTCGAAAAGAAAGGGTTCTGGTACTATTCTGTTCAATATGCTTATAGATTGGAATGAAAACTTTTTATCTTCAAGTGCATCAGCGATCTCTTTGTCTGTCCATATTTTATATAATAATCGAATTGTATCAACTAAAGCTTTGTAAACAGATTGTATTGTATAAATACGATGTTTTACAACAAATAAGCCATATGAGCATAGCTTATACCGAAGCTTGTATAGCAAATATATACCGAAAGCTTGAAAATGCTCTAATATAAAATATTTGAATGTTTGAAAATAATCCGATTATAATTCGTTATCGAAATAGCTTTTTCGCTGATATTCGTATAACTTGTATCTACAGAAATCTCTAATCTCCTTTATATTCGTTTCAGCAAGATTGATAGAATAATCTGGCCATCTTTTAGCTAATCTTTTATCTTTGTGTTTCAGCTTATACTTCATGGAATCGTCTTTGTATAATCCTGCCATATTAATAAATAACAGATAGGTAATAAGATAAGATGCATAAATATAATTTTGCTAAAATCTAACAAAGTTGTATTTAGTTATAAAAGGTGATACTTAGTTTGAGCTGGTAGCTACTGGTTTGTATTCTTTAATACATATTGTCTTGAAAAATAAAATGTAGATTAAGATTGATTATAAAAGTCGTCACTATATTATTGACTAAATTTGGTTTATCAGTATTAAATCACATTAAATTATATTGAACACAAGAACTGCTATTACATTGCTGATAGTTTTTATTCATATAAGGGTAAATATCAAACCATATTGCTTTAATATAAAAACTTATACCTCTTCAGAGAAATATTAATCTTAGTTATAAACCCATATTGTATTTGAAAATTAAAGTGCTAGACTCCTGATCTATAATATCACTAATCAGTATTGATATCACTATAAAGATAATGAAGTAATATAATACTAATGATTTATACTATTGTAATATTACTCTAGGTTCTAAAAGCTAAAGGCTACGAAATGTATGATATAGTGTTGGTGCGCTAGCGCCTGCACTAGTGCGATTACATGGCTCCTGTCACATGATCCCTGTCCCAACAGTATCGAATAATAACAACAACTAGATCTTCAACAAGCTACCTAGTATCTCTTGCGATTTCTTCAAAGTTTGGTTTAGAGATTTATGGATATATATTATGTTTTGGTTTATATTTTATTTCTATTTCTATTCCTACTCATCTCCCATCCACACCTCCTACCAACAAACAAACAACCAAACAAACAACCAACCAAACAACCAACCAACCAATCAAACAAACAATTAAACAAACAAACATACATATTTCAAACTTCCCTTTCCATCTTTCCTTCTCTTCCCTTCCCTCCCACTTCTATCCACATCAGCCCTACCATCCCATCCCATCCCATCTCACTCTTCCCTAGCACCCTAGCACCCTAGCACCCTAGCACCCTACTTCCCTCCTCCCCTACTACCCTACCACCCTACCACCCTACTACCCTACCTCCCTACCTCCCCCCTTCCCCTTCCCTATTTCCCATCCCATCCATCCCATCTACATACACACAACTAACCTAACATACCAACATACCAACATACCAGCATGATTCACATTCACATACAACCTGCACATACAACCTGCACATGCACATACATATTGATCATCCGGACATATCATCACATATCATACAATATCAAATCATATCATATCAAACCAAACCATATCATATCATCTCATATCATCACATCATATCAAACTAACCAACCGATCAAACCAATCCAAACCTCCCTTCTCCTTTCTTTTCCTTCCATATTAAATTCTATTCCATTCTAAGACCACCTACCTACCCACATCCATACCATAGAATCCTCCATTCTCCATTCCTCTGTATGTCAAATCAAGAAAAGCACACTCACTCACTCACTCGCCGCGCTCGCTGCGCCTTCAGTATGACTGTATCATACACACATACCTAGTCTGACTATCCGACTTCCGACTTCCGACTTCTGACTTCTGACTTTCCAAGATATTATTATTATTTCTCACGACCTCAACTATATGTGCCGAATGATCTATTCCTATTCTATTTCACTATGTCTTGTATGTATGCACGTATGTATGTATGTAATCTTTCTTCTCCATGTCTTCCTTCCTTCACATTTCTTATTCTCAGTTTAGAGCTTAGTATGCGCATGCACATACATACTCAGCAGAAACTCCTCTATGATTTCCACTACTCATTTCCTCACACTATCACCCTCGAGCATCTTCATGTTTATGGGTCTTTCATTTACCAAGATGTTTTCTCCGCAGTCCGCATCTAGTGCATCTTCATTCCTCGCCTCATATTCCGATGCTCCTGAAATCTCACCTCCTCAGCGCTGTTCAATATGTAATGAAGACATCGGCACTTCACACTGCGATGGAGAAATCGAAGTCGCATATATACTTCCCTGTTCGCATGTTTTTGGTTCCATTTGTATATTGCGCTGGTTGGAAACCGATTCTCCGCATCAGAATTGTCCGCAATGTCGACGGAAAATGGTGTATACGGAATGTGGACATTTGATACGGCCGTGCGAAGTCAGCAGTGCGCCGAAGAGTGTAAGAGAGGCAGATATGCCGAAGAGGTGTCTGGGGTGTAGAGGGTTGGAGGGAGAATTGAAGAGTGAGGTGGAGATGTTGCTGAAACGGGCTGAGGTGGAGCAAAGAGCGTTGACTGCGATGAAGATGCATTTTCCGGGGGTTTGGGGGGAGATGTTTAGAGAGACCGTGCGGACTGTGGGGAAGAGGGTGGAAGAGTCGAGGAAAGTGTTGAGGAGGGATATTGAGGAGCTTTGTCGAAAATATGAGGAGAGTGGGAAGAGGGAGCAATGGTAATTGATTTCTCCAGAGAAGGAGAGAGATATGCGTTAGATGTTATATATACCCCGGATCGATCTTCTGTTTTCACATCATTCGCGGATGTTCCTTGGTTGAAAGGCCACTGGTTGTTATTTTGTAATGCGAGAATCTCCTCGCAATAGAATAGACATTAATTGTAGAGTAAGAGAAACTCATCAAACCATCTTCCGGAATTCTATCATCGTGAAATTGTTCTACTCAGTCGTCTATCGGTTCCATCCTCTTCATCACTGCTATCGTCTTTAAAGCCTTCTTCCAAATCTCGACTTAATCTTCTGCCATCTTCATCCCTGCCTCGTCGTGCATCTAGCGATAATGCTTCTCGTCGATTGTCATCCACATCGAATAGTTCCTCTCCATCTTCATCATCAAAATCAATACTATCCTGTGCACTGATTCTATTTCGATTAAAATCCGCTCTCCATGAACTTGGAAATATTGTTCTGACCACTGCGGCTTGTACTCGTTGTCGTAAACTTGTTGTTTGGGTTGAGATGGTATCTAAGGGTAGATATTGACCAGCTCTCGCTCGGTATCTTTTCCATAATGGAACAATGACGAATGATATTAGAAGATAAAGAATGAGTGAAATGATTGCGGGTACTATTAAAGTCTGCGACGACAGCAATGTTAGCTTTATGTTAGTTTGGATTGGAGAGAAGCTCCGGGTAGTTTTCATTAATAACCTTTAGTAACGACCAAGTGGAACCCATATTGGAAGATGAACTTGTAGTTGGAGTATCTTCGTTTCCAGCAGCATTAGGTGCAGGATGGGGAATATATGGAACTGGAACTGGCACTGGCACTGGCACTGATGTTCCTCCGTTTAAGGCTGCGCGAGGTTGCCACGCGTTCGTCATACGATGGAACAATCGATGTGAGTTGACTTGGGTACTTGGGTACTTGAGTACTTGAGTACTGGAGCACTTGAACTTGAGTAGTCGGTTCGGAATTGAAACTTAAGAGGTTAGACGTTGTTGGCACTTGGCGGTCCGTAAAGAGAGAGGGACTAAACCCTATGGAAATTGTAGTAATGTTCCAACACGAGAAGGGGGAGGGAGGGCAAATGAACGGACAAGTAGGAAATCCGTTGGTTCTCCTTTCTTTGATTTCAAATGGCAGGTAGCGGCTATCTACCGTTCACGCTATGTTCGTAACAAATCAGCTTCATTGATGGGAAGTCTATGTGATTGAGTTGATTGATGAATAACCAATTAAACCATATGGGTGATATTGAGTTCAGCTTGTTCTCGATATTCAATTGCCATTCGCTAGGTTTACGGAGATGGATACCAGGAGACAGACAGCAAAGATGCATACTAGGTACCTAGATAGAAACTGGGTGGAGGTGGATATTCGAGCGGCAGCGAGCTATGGGGGTTTGGGGGCTTGCCCCCATGAATAGAGAATAGAGAGAGTGCAGACTGCAGACTGCAGAATACATCCTACAGAATATCAAATAAACAGTACCGATCATAGCTGAGAGACTATGGAATAAATCTAGAGCTTCATCTATTCCTTCATATCATCTCCTTTCAGTTAGTTACACAGTTATGTTTCAACGGGACCGGGCACTTGCCTTGCCATCTTCATCTTATCTTCGTAAAAGCCGCCCGAGGTTCCTTATCGTTATCGCATCCTTCTAACAACCTTCTTCAAGTCCGATATTCCGCTCCGGGCCAGCCCACCACCCCCCAAAAAAGACACATGCACACACTACCGGTACCTAGGTACTCATAGCACAAGAAATCAATAGTTCTCCAGAGGACGAGGACCAGGTACAGACAGACGGACAGACAGACGGACAGACAGACAGACAGACAGACAGACAAACAGACAGACAGACAGGTACAGAGTAATCCATAGGTCAGAATATTAATCTCTAGGTATGTTATTAAACATTTCTCTGCACTCAGTCCAAGCTACCTAGGTATCTCATAAATCATAAATCATAAATTATAATCTTACGATTAAACCTCCTAATAAACCTCTTGTGCTTTAATAAGGGGGTTTGACTTTTACTATCCATACATCATACATCATACATCATACACCTCACATATACAACATACAACATACAACATACAACATACAACAAATACATTCACTCATTTGGCTTGCTTGCTTGCTCGCTCGCTGCCTTTCCCTTCATTCCCTTGACCGTATCTACATACAATATCTTTTTCTTCCATTCTTCAATTCTATCCTTCAATTCTTCAATTCGTCGATCCTTCTCTCTTTCGCTCTTTCGCTCTTTCTCCCTTCTTTCTTTCTTTGCGACCATTATTCCGTTTGTTGTCATTGTTGTTGTTGTTCTTCTGTTGTTGTTGATACCCCAACTCAATTCTCAATTATCAGTCCAGCACAGACAGAATACCTCCAAAGTACATCCATCCATCTTCCACAGCTAAATCGCACAGGATTCGGTTCCTTGAAAAAATTATTGGGCTTCTATCGGCATCCATACATACCGTCCGTAGTCTGTGGGTCAAGGGCAAAGTGTTTGATGTGCTCGCAGCAACACCGAGGGAAGGAAGTCAGTTTCAGCCTTTCCAAACGAATCTTTAGAAGTGACCAGGGGGAAAAATAGACTTTGGCGATAGAAGTGTGGGCAGTTGTTGGGTTCTCCAGCTTCGTTCAGGATCTCGCAAAAGGACTCACGCATTCACATACTTTTTTTCCCCATCTCAAAAGTGGTGCGTGGGAAAGAATTCCATATTTCAACTGGCAAGTACATCATCCCATCCAATCTTTGCCCTTCTCCCATGCTTCCTCATGAACAGGGCGATATTAGCTTGTACATTAGGCAAATAATCCTGTCAGTGTCGCAGAATTTAGTCCAAATTCATGCTAACTATATTTGTCTGGTAGTGCGACTTTGCGACCTGCCAGGATAATACTAACATTGGAACGACTCTCAACCTGGATTGACCAACCCTCGAACAATTGGCAAAGAGCATGATGTGAATGTTTACAATCCCTTGAGACATTGATGATTACAACAAAAGACTTGGGAGTATTGGGACAAGAAGAAAGTGTGAAGACAGTGCGATCGAACGACAATCAATCATGTCATCATCTGGCAAATCCTCATTCTTCTCGAGGAATAAGAAGGATAAGAGGAACAACAGCGATGAAGGACGACAACTTTCGTCTGCGGGCGCGGGAAACAATGATGCAGCAAGTGGTAGAGGGTCGCAATCTTCAAGGCATGCAAGAATGTCTTCTGTTGCCTCGGAAGATGCTCCCGGATCGCCTGTTACGGATTTGATGGGAATCAATACAATGGCGGGTGTTATCACTTCGATCCCATATGACAGTGTTATGGCAGATGGCAGGTCGCCCATACCAGTGGATTATCTACCTAGGAGCGATCAAGTACCTTTGAGGAGAGAACCACTTCCACATCACTTGAATATGAATGGAGTGGATTTTCATCAATACCCCGCTTCAGACACAGCATCTATTAATGGCAGTTCACATCCTACGGGCCCTCGACCTCCACCGGTGGGAAGCAATGTAACAATGGCCTCGACCGGAAATCGCACAACTCAATTACAGCATTGGGGTCCTAATCGAACGAGTATCGCGAGCACGGTAAATGGAAGTCACAATTCAAGATACGATTCTTATTCTACAAACCAGTCCTCGAATTATGGTGGCCGTATTTCCTTCGATCAGCAAAGCATAGATTCTATGACTGAAAGATCTAGCGTTCTCTCATCAGGGAGTTCTGCGAAAACGGCTTTGCCGGGTTCCTACTCGAATGGTTCGTTATCGCCATCATATCAGCCAGGAGCAGGAAGAGATCAACGAATAACAAAATTACCTCAACATCTTAGCACAGCAGGATATGGTTCGCCAGTCGCAGCGCCGGATGGATTCAAACTCAACAAACCCAACGACGACAGGGTTATCGAAGAACAATTTTTGTCACTGATGCAGAAAAGAGGATGGCACAACTTACCCGATCAAGCGCGCCGACAAATGATGGCTTACACTCCGGCGAAAAAGTGGACTTTGGTACATCAAGATCGCTTAACTGAATGGCAAGGAGAACAAAAAAGGCGAACGAATGCTCGGCAAACCGGTCAATATGGTTCTGCTATGGAAATGCTTCTAAATGCAGAGGAAGAAGGAACTCCGGAATGGTTTGTGAGGAAGGTTATGGACAACAGCATTTCAGCGAAGCAATTACAAAGTCTAGCAGTCAGCCTTCGAACTCAACCAATTGGTTGGGTGAAAACCTTTGTGGAATGTCAAGGCCAGGTTGCTCTAACCAATGTACTCGGGAAAATCAACCGGCGACAAGCTCAAGGACCGACTGGGCCAGAAGGATCGATCAGTGACAAGGATTTGGATAGGGAATATGACATCTGCAAATGTTTGAAAGCTCTGATGAACAACAAATTCGGTGCCGATGATGCTTTACAACATCAACAAGTCATTGTGGCTTTGGCCACCTCATTGGTATCACCCAGGATTCCGACGAGGAGGGTTGCCAGTGAAGTTTTGACATTCTTGTGTCATTGGGCAGATGGGCAAGGTCATTTGAAGGTTGTCCAGGCTATGGACTATGTGAAAAATCAACAGGGTGAGAATGGACGGTTCGATGCATGGATGCGTGTTGTTGAAGTCACTGTTGATGGACGTGGAAAAATGGGAAGTCTTGTGGGGGCTAGTGAGGAGGTCAGAAGTGGTGGTGCCGGCATGGAGAATCTGCTCATGGAATATGCTCTGACTACTATGTTCTTGATTAATATGGTAGTTGATGCTCCTGAGAGGGATTTGCAACTCCGTGTTCACATTAGAGCTCAATTCACAGCATGCGGTATCAAGCGAATTCTCACGAAGATGGAGGGCTTCCAATACGATGTTCTCGACAAGCAAATCGAAAGATTCCGTACGAATGAAGCTATTGATTATGAAGATCTTCTCGAGCGTGAGAATAGTAGTATGAAGGATAGTATCGAAGGGGAAATCAAAGATCTTACTGACCCTGCTCAAATTGTCGATGCTATCATGCAGAAAGTTCAAGGCAGTAGAACTCAAGATTACTTTGTTTCTGCAATGCAACATCTTCTATTGATCAGAGACAGCGACAGCGAGGAACGATTGAGAATGTTTCAACTTGTGGATTCTATGCTTAGTTATGTCGCTATGGATAGGAGACTTCCTGACATGGACTTGAAGCAAAGTCTCAATTTCACAGTGCAGAGTCTTTTGGATAAATTACACACAGATTCTGAAGCTAGACAAGCACTAGATGAAGCCCTTGAAGCCCGCCAGATTGCCGATTCGGCCATGGCTGAAAGAGATGAAATGAGGGCTAGAATTGAGCTTGGTGCAGATGGACTTGTAGGCAAGCTGCAAAAACAATTGGACGAGCAAGCACAAATCATCGAAGTTCAGCGAAGACAAATAGACGCATTGAAGGGTGAGATGGAAAATATTCAGACAGTTCGTGCCAAGGAAGCTCAAAGAAATGAGCTTGAAACTAGAGAATTATACCTCATGCTTCGTGATGCACAAGATATCGCCGCATCCAACGCTTCAAAGGGTGGAGCCGGTTTAGGTGAGACAGATCCTTCACATATGAAGGGTATATTGGATCGTGAAAGACTTATGGATCGTCTCGAGATGCAAATTGAGAGACAAAAGACACAATATAAGCTTGAGGGCAGAGTCTGGGGTGACGCAGCCGGTCCTTCTGATCGCTTGAGAGCACTTCGTGAAGAAATGGATGGTGTAGATCATGGATCAGATGGTGGACTCGGAGTTCCTCCGGGAGATTACACTCACAGCATTCTTGGAAACGTAACGAGATCAGCCAAGATTCCCAGAAAGCCAATTGGCGTGG